CCTAGATTCTTTTGAGATTCATTGAGCTTTTCAATGGCATGTTAAATCTCGATTATGCCCTTCAACTTTGTGACTGGGTTACCGAGGATCACAAACAAGGTGTGAATAACCATGAAAATTAGCTTGGTACTCTCGATGTCATTAATCACCTAATCAATGTGACGGTTAACCACACACGCTCCATTGATCAATGATAATTTACGAGAAACCCACTGCCATCCTTCATTAGTCCACATTAGTGTGCCGGTTAACCACACACGCTTCACTAACTGACCAATAAGGTGCAATGTGCAATTTCACGAATTAGCACCAAATTAACATTTTTCCTTAAGTAACTAAGATTGGGAATTTATAAAAGGTTTATATACTTTATATTTGATTATACTTTTAATGAGGATTTAAATGTCCTGTCAAACTCGTTCGGCTAACGACCCTCCACTGGTCAAGGGTGTGGTGGGTAAGAATGGATACCCAATGGCGGTCATTTTATAAGCCGCTTCCTTAAACGCCCCTTATAAACCAGCTTCGTGAATGGGGCCTACTAACGGTAACACTGACCCTTTTAACTTATACATATATAATATATTAGACTTTTAATGTTATATAGTATAAGGGTGTATTTTATACATTTAAAATACTAGGTTGTTTAATCTATTAATTAAACTAGACTTTTAATTTAATTAAACTCAAACCATATAATTATGGATTTATTAATACTCTTTTAATTAATCCTTTAATTAATTATCAACAAAACCATAATTAAACTTTTAAGTCTAAATTTAAGTTATGAAGCCAAAAGGTTTAGAATTTAATATTTCACAATTAAAACTTTTAATTAAATTTTAAATTCTAAAACTTGAGGGGAAGTTTTTGAAACTCTTCAAAACCTTTTAGATTCCTAAACTTGATGGCAAGTTTTGTAACCTTTCAAGACTCTTGAATTCCATAACCTAAGGAGTTAATTTGTTTTATGAATGAGACTTTTCAAGTTCCATAACTTGAGGACAAGTTATGAAATTTCTTCAAAAACATTTAGATCAATTTAACTAATATTTTTTTGTAACTCCTTAAAAAAACTTTTGAGTTCCAAAACTTGATGACAAGTTTTGTAACTCTTTAAAACATTTAGATCAAAATTTTAAACTAATAAAATAATCATAATTTTATCTTTTACCAATTTAACCTAATCAAGTTCATATAGCAAGACAATTCAAATCAAAAACTACAAATAATTTAGCTTATCATATAAACTAAAAATAATTTTGAAATTTTACCTTATCTTAAAAACGATTTTTATAAGTCAAAACAGTTTGTGGTAATGACCCTAATCAAAAAACTGGCAAAAAACTCGAAAAATCTGCCAACAGACTTCCCAACTCATCGAGTCAAGCTATGGACTCGTCGAGTTCATCTCCATACGATCCAACTCGGCGAGTCCACTCAAGGGACTTGTCGAGTCCAGTAGTCAGACAGCAAAAATTGAAAATTTTCAGCTTTGAAAATTAACCAATGCATTAATATAACAGTAAACATCCATGGCTCTGATACCACTGCTGGGTTTATGTACTCTAACATCCCTATGGTGCACATACAACCCTAATGCTTTGGATCTAAGTTTTCTCTAATTATACATGCAACATTGTTTTTCCAAAGCAAGAAGCCTAAACTAGCATACAACTTGGTATATGAATCATAAAAAACTAGTTAGAAGATTACCTCTTGTTGTAGCTTTTTTTTATTTGGCCTTGAAGAGCTTAGCACCCCAAGTGTGATGCCTCAAATGTTTCACAACACACCAAGAACAAAAGGAGGCTTGTGAGAGAGATTATGAACCACCAAAATCGGCTTGGGTTCTCTTAGAATACTAGTGCGTCGATTTTGGCTAAGGGGTTACACACACACACACACACACACATATATATATATATATATATATATATATATATATATATATATATATATATATATATATATATATATATATATATATATATAGTGTAGAATTCCAAGGGTCACTTGTAAACCCTAATTCATACACTTAGCTTATGATCCAATAATTCATATGGACTAACTCTTTATGGATTCTCACATAAACTTAGCCCATCATGGCTCAATAGCCCAAACCATATGTATCACTGATTTACATAATCAATCCCTGTATATTTAATCAGTCTCTTTTGATCACTAATTTAATTCCAAATTAATTCTTGATCAATACTAATTAAATAAAATGATTTCTCAATTAATATATTATTCTTATAATATATTAATAAATCATAAATAACCTTTTTCTCAAATATCCATCGTATCAAATTGTTCCAGTGAATTGTAACCCAAATGGACCATGCTACTTTCGGGTCAAGTATATACCAACTATAGTTATCGACTTAGACACCTAATCCAACATCAACAACATAGGAATTTCAACCCAATTTTCCATATTATGGGTAAGATGCATATCTACATCGGATGGACCAACATTGCTGATCTTTGAAGACAGGGCTGAAATTGGAATGATGACTCCATGATTGACATTATAACCCTCTTCATTATGAGCCAAAATACGTCCAAGCCAACGTGGATAAGGAATATATGTTGAATTCTTGTTCCCAGTGACACATTCAATTAGTTGATCGAAGAAGAGTTGAGCAAAATCCAGTCCTATGTTGCAAGTCATGGCATAGAAGATTCTTTGCTCAAACAGGTTCAACTGATCCAAGCTTCCAGTCTTATGTCCAAGACATTTTCCAATCACCCCTAATAAGTACTTCCATCCTACACAATAGCATTGACGAAGGGTGTATTTATTTGGGTCACGAGAGGTGCCCTGAAGAGAAAAGTTATACCCCAATCTTGAACGAATAGACTTCCATTTTTCTTTTAAAGGGGTTTTAGATTAATTTTTTGATTTCGGAAGACGAAGAACAGTTCGAAAAGATTTTGCATTGATAGTAACCCTATATTGACCATCTCCAATGGTTCTGGTAATGGTTTGAGCATTTGAATAAACAGAGCATGAATAATAGAACTCACATACTTGCTTAGGGTAAAATGGCTTTGAGAAGTCACAAAAAGCATATCAAAGAGGACAGCTTTTGACGTAGTTGACGAAGTCTTCAATCCTTGAGTTCTTGAACTGATTTGGGATAACATCAGTGAATTCCATGTTGTCCACTTGAATGATAATGGGAGAATCAGGAGCATGAGGGCTGTTGATCACATTAGTGTTAGGAGCAAACTCATAAAGAACCTTTGACATGATGAGGACTTGAGGAAGATGATGTTTGAGAGTGCCTTTTCGAGAGAGAAAATAAACAACTTGAATGAGTTGTGAAAGTGACCTAGGAGAGAGAATTTTCCAAATTTAAAACAAATTGGGCCAAAGTCACAACAAATGAAACCTTTTGGACCAATGGTGCAACTCCGAAATATTTTGGACCAAAGTCCCAACTTTTGACAAACCACAGGAACCAAATTTGCAATTTTTTCTAAATTTAATGAAGATCAAGGTCTTTAACAAATGACTAAAAATGGACATTGTACTTATGAAATTTCCTTAATGATCCTTAAAAAATGTAGACTAAGTCTAAATCTTTGTAAACCACTACTAGAAAAACAGCCGTTTACGACGCGCAATGCGTGTCGTAAAACGCTCAGACGACGCGCAAATGCGTGTCAAGAAAGGCCCTGTCATAACGAGAGACGACACGCTTTTGCGCGTCGTCTATAGACGACGCACATTTACGACGCACATTTATGACACGCAATGCGTATCATTAAAACCCCTGTCAAGAAAGGCCATGTCATAAATGAAGATGACGCACACTTTTGCGTATCGTAAATTTAAATGTTAAAAAAAATTATATATTTATTAATTTTTAAATTAAATTTGCATTTAATGTTTCATAATAGAAATAAAATACCATATACAAAAAATACAATCCATTGCATAAAATTTAAAATACCATATACCAAACATTCAATTTCATCTAAATGTTAAACAAGTTATCAAAAACATTGTATGTACATTACATGTCAAAAGAGGATGCTACGTAATATTTCACAAAGTTAACAATAACATTGTACATCACATATCAAAAGACAAATGTTACCTAACATTTCACTGTTATATTGTTTGTGGATACAAAATATCACCGGTAAATGAAGTCTGTAAAAAAATTCGATCATTCTTCACGGATTTCATCAATATCATCACCTGTGTATTGAACTTTGTCACCCCAACCTGAGAAAAAAATTGCATATAATGTTTCAGTTATAAAAAAATGATCATTTCTTTAACAGTGAGTAGTATGCTATATTCATTAAATAAACATAAAATGTAAATTCTCCTTTCTTATTATGCCTTTTATTGTCTCTTTATGTCTTTAATATCATCAACTGCAGCATTCCTTTTTCAATTTTTTTTATTAAGGCATTGTACTCAATTTCTTTCTACATGGCATTGCTATAATCAGGTAGATTTCTCAATGTATAATGTTGTAATAGGAAGTATCTTGTGAAGTCGTAATAAGCAATTAATATGACAAGACAACGGGTCTCATCCTCATCAGTATATTCTGTTTAAATATTAGTAGAATGCTTATTTTTAGAAACTTTATGTATGATTAAGTTCATGATTAATGATTCATAAAGCTAATATAATTTGTCTCGATTTGGTTAACAAATTGACATATATGGTCCAAGTCAAAGAAATGAAAAAACATAAAAACCTGGGTAGCCAAGTATATATTGTTCAAATGAGAAGGATGTGCTTGAACAATGGCTCGATATGCACTCCTCCTACCCTCCATAGTCTGAAGCAAGAAACATTAAACCACTTTATAAGTAGAATGGCCCCAATATAGTTGACCAAGGAACATATAAAGATGAAATTATGATGGTAAATACCTAAAAATCAAAGAAGAAATTTGACCGGTCAACCATAAAAAATTTACATTACGGATTGCATCACAAATAATGCTTACCTGAGGGTATTCCGGTCAACCATAAACTGAATTGACCTTTCGCTTCATGATATCCACATCCCACACCTTAATGGTAAGATCATCACTGCAAATGTCACCAAAATTATTTATAAATTATTTTAAATAGTTATATTACTAAATAAATATTACTATACCTGCATGTAACTATTTTATCTCCAGTGCTATTAAAAGATAACCCCCATACTGTAAATGAGTGTCCACTGAAAATCATTGTAATTATTAATTCATTAAATTCTAGCATTCCCTAAAATGTTAACATAAAGAGTGTTGGATACCTATTTGATTCGCCTAAAGGCTGCACACAACACCAAGCATCACTATCACCATCATTTGCCCAAACCTGAAAATAAAAACATAATAGAATATCATGTGAATTTGTTTTGAAAGTTTTGAATTATGTGTATGAAATTAAATAATGTTACCTTAATGGTGTTATCACAGCTACAAGAGAATAAAACATCAACAGTTGGATGCCAGTGAACCATTTTAACATCTTGTGTATGACCTTGAAGAACAGAGACCCAATGATATTCATTTCCTGGTAAAACTTCCCAAATCCAAACACATTTGTCTCGACTACAAGTTGCAAAGAGAGAACCAGATGCATTCCATGACACACTTTTCACTTCATTTTCATGCCCCTATACAAATTAACAACTCATTCTCATCCATTTATAAGATATAAACATTTGGTTGATAAGTAACATAAACAGAACAACATTAGAATGATGAGGTGAGCAGTACCTCTAAAGTGGATACACATTGAAAGAGGTGGCATCAAAACTTGCAGTTGCTAATTATTTATCAGATGGAGACCAAGCACACAATTTACCAGATGGCGACAAAACATTCAAAGTCACTTCCATGAATCCAATATCAATAGTAAAATAGAGTGATATTTGAGTAACCTCTTTCAAAGAGAACTGCAATCTGGAAAATGAGATGTCATATACAGTCCGTCCTTTACCTGTTTCAACAAAAATCCAATAAAAAACCTTAAAAAAATTAATAAATAACATGTTAGCTAAAATATTTGGTGATGAAAACATAAAAAAGAAAGAGAAATAGTAAAGGAAAGTGAAGCAAATAGGTAGTAGATTTCAAGTTCACATCTTCCAAGTTCCAACTATAACACAAATTCGCCAGTACCTGCTTAGATTCTTTAGGGGTTCAGGTTAAATTCGCTCACATCACCCTTGTGGAAATCCCTCAAACAACTAGCACCATAGTAATGATTTGATTTTGTGTTAAAATAAAGAGGTTCCGGTTATAATAAAATATTGAATTACCTGTGTAGCCTTTGGTTGAAATGGCTATTTCTGATCCGTTGACTTGGCTTAGGAGAATTAGTGTCCATGGACAGTAGAGAGAAATCCCAATTTCCTGCACGCCAAGCAACTTCAAACTACAAACAGAGAAAAAATCAAGCATATGAAGTTACAGTTGTAAACACAGAGGCCACTCACAAGCAGGTAACAAGCTATGCGTTAGAAAATGATGGTTATAGTGATCTATTGCAGTCGGTTTCAATCCCTGATGGGCTAGAACCATGGGAGGACAGGACTGACCTTTGTAAATTGACCCTATCAATATTACAAACTATGCCTGGCAATCTGGAAGAACTTATAGAGACAATTAACAAAGAAGACAGCAATAAAGTGTCCTGTATTATTGTTGATGATTGCATGGGATGGGCCATAAAAGTCGCAAAGAAATTGGGAATTAGCAGAGCAGTCGTCTGGCCAGCCTCAGTTACTACGCTAACTTCCATGTTGAGCTGTCAGAAATTGATTGATGATGGAATCATTAAGAACAATGGTGAAACATGCATGATTACACATTTTGTTTTATAAGAATCTAGCTAATTTCGAAGGTTACACTACATGTTAATTTTGATCAAACCTAATGGTTATGATTTTCAATTTAATATCAGTTCTTGTTTTTCCCTATTTGATTTGTTGATTCAAAAAGTTACACTACAAGTTAATTTTGATCAAACCTTATGGGATCGATACAAGAATAATGAAGGTAGTAACAAAAACAAGTAAAACTCATAATAGAAACAACACCAAACAATTATCTTGTAGCACATCTCAACTTTTGAATTTCGTTTTATGTGAAAAAAAAACTAAGAAAACGTATTACCATTTCTCATGGTTGAAAATCGAAGAGTTACAAGCAAAAAATAAAATATAACATGGCCAATGGCCACACTAATTCATCATCAAGAATTATTCAAAAGACAAAATCACCACAACTCCTTTTAGTGGTGTGCCTTGGCTGCAACTTTTCTTTGCGAATTTGCCTTTGACTGAAAAATTATTTGCATAAAAAATAGTTAATTTTAGATTTTTGGTTAATCGTTATACATACAAAGGGCTATTTTGGTCTATTAAAGGATTGTAATGGAACTAAATTCCATCCATTGGTTAAACACAAACCAAATGTGCCCTAAATTGTAGAAATCAAACACATAAATCACAAACCAAATGTGCCCTAAATTACAGAAATCAAACACAGTCATATAGTGGCACAGAGCACAAATTATTAAAAACATAAAGATACATGTGAATATGATCAAATGAAGCATTTCTCACTTCATAAAACATATGTAAGAGGTGCTAAAGACTTAATGATATCTGGGGAATTTCATCGAACACTTGGTGTTCGTCTAAACACCATGGAAAGACAAAGGTAAATTGCAGAAATCAAACACATAAATCACAAAAATGGAGTATATGAGTTGATAATTCATTGAAATATGAACAAAAACAGAAACAATAGAGATGCACAATGGATTAACATAATAAATCGAGAAGTAAAAAAAACAGATGAACATAAGTCGATTTAGGGATGGACGTTACCACTATGAAGGCCTGAACATCTTTACTCCTCTCTCTCTCTCTCTCTCTTCTCGTTAAGATGCTGGCGAGACTTGGCTGGCGACCCCTTTGGCGGAAGATAGCGGGCGGTGTTTAGCACCTTTAGCGACCCATGATGACCTTCTTAACGACGCCCACTCCTTTGAGCCTGATAATCATATCGAGAGTGCTAGATTTAGATTCGCTTTCTATTCAAACATGTCCAATTTTTTGCAGGATACGGTCCAAATTTTTACATAGGAACCACCAAATCATTCAAAACTAGAAAAAGATATGTGAAGAAATGAAAAATAAATTGATTACCTGGGTCTCTAACGCAGAAGTTTCAAAGGTGATGACGAGATGCAATCGGGAAGCTAATGGAGCAAAGTTACGGTTCTTCGTCTGTGTGTTTTTCGATTTATCTATGGGGAATCTGAAACAAACGAGAATCAAGATTTGCATTCCTAATATTGAGACTTAAGAGTATAATTAGGGCTTTTTCTAACAATTTCAAAATCGAGTGGGAGATATGGTGGTTCCAGTGGGTAGAAGTAAGTGAGGGAAGAAGTAGGCGGCAGTAAGGAAAGAGCGTCCATAATTTGGGCAAGAGGGAAAGGAGAAAAAAAGGAAGGCGGGGTTTTTAGTTTTTTTCAGAATTTCATTCCCCCCTGCTATTAAAGGATGGAAAGCGCGTTCCATTAAAAAAATATAAAGCGACATCCTTAGACGACGCGCATTTTATTATAGGTGCCCTCCGTGTTTTTTTTAGACACTAATTTAAGGGCACACAATAATGCGTGTCCTCTATCCTTAAATTTATTGAAGAGATGTCACTTTTTTAATGTCTCTCTCTTTTGCGTAACATAAATCAACGAGTGTCGTGGTTTACGCGTCATAAAAGGGTCTTATTCTTGTAGTGAACATTAACACGACAAGCTCTCCCTTTGGATCAAAATCCATGTCATTCCCTATAATGCTTATAATCATTAAGGTCTTAGCTACATTACTTCTAAGATTGGCAAGCCCAATGTAATAGACTCTAAAATGGAAAATATGTGTAGCTATATCAAGGGTAAATTTGCATTTTCCCATGTGCTTATTTAGTCCCCCTTTAGAAAAACATGTGTGGATGAATAAAAGATTCATATCCAGAATGCGAAACTCTTAAGTATACTTAGCTTAAAAATAGAATATGGTTGAAAACCTTTTTTTATTTACTCATGTTGTATTTTTGGCCATGAATTTCTTTTAAATGACAAATTTATTGAAGATAATTATATTGAGCTTAGGCTGGATGATGGTGACACTGCTCAATTCATTGTCACTGATCATATATTTTAATTGGGATGCTCCTATGCCCTCTCAAGAGCCCGATAAGATGGACTTTACTCCTGTTGGAAAGGGTGTCCAAGGTCATTAACTCTTGGTAATATTTCTAATAATAACAGGGTCCTTTGGATTGCACTCAAAACCCAAATTGAGTAGAATAAATAAAGGAGAAATTGGTTTATTAATTATTATGGTTAATAATTAATTAGAAACTAACTAAAAATATATTTTGGAAATTAATTAAGAGCTTAATAAATTAAAGGGTTGAATATTCATTAATCGGTAGTTGATAAAAATCCTTATGGAATTAGGGTTAGACGAAAATCACTCTGTCCCACATGGGAAAGGGAGTGAATTTCGTGGTTGCCTACTTGTCCAACATGGGAAGGAGTACAAAACCTAGGAAGGAATACAAGGCTATAAATAGGGTCTTAGGAATGTCATTCTTCCTTGCACCTTGGCTTGAAGTTTCGCCAACCCTTCTTCCTCCTCCCATAGGGATGATTTTTAACCCTCCTAGGGTTTGTGAAATTGACTTTTATCCTAGTTATTTTTATTCCATTCTTTGGTGTCATTGGGTGTAATACCGTTAGAGGGATTCAAGTTTGGGTCCTCTCATCCAAGCAACTTCGTGGAGGACAAGATATCAAGCATGGAGATCAAGGGCTACATAAGAGGTATGTTTTTCTTCTTTGTATTTTCATTTTCTAGGGTAGATGTAATTAGCATGAAACCATAGATCCATTGGTTGCATTTACACTTAGGTATATCGTAGTTTTGATTTTTCCGCTACCTAGCTTAGAGTGTATTTGATGCATAGAAAACCTAACAGTGGTATCAGAGTGTAACGCCCGTAGATCCGGGCTAGTCAATTTAGAGATAATAGGGGTCGAAAATGACTTTTCGACAAAAGATTATTTAGAATAAATAATCTTAACCAAGTTGTAGAATACGTCTCAAGGTTTCCGTACATATAAAGAACGCCGAAATCTGAGTTATAACGAAGAAGTTATGACCCGTCGAAGTTTTACGGCAGAACCGACACAGCACCGGGAGACGTAAATAGTGAATTTACGATAGAGCGACTTTTAGCCTTAGCGATCTAAACGAAAATCGTAGAAAACGTTAAACCGAGAACATACAAAAAAAGTACGCCCAAATCTGACTTCGTATGAGGAAGTTATGAATTTTCTATGATTTGGCATAACAGTGCACGACCCGAAACTCGAATTTTAGATCGAGCGGTTTTTGGCCTACGCGACCTAAAGGAGAATTGAAGATCTCATTAATAGGAACTCAAAGGTAAAAAGACAGACGAAAACGGAGTCCGTATGTAGAAGTTATGAATTTTACGCGGACATTTAACAGTATAATCTCCTCGTACTGTTAAATTTAAGATCGGTCGAGAATTAGCCGACGGAGTCAAAATGAAAGTTGTAGATATTATTTTTACCTACGTGTGGATATAAAGAATGTCAAAAACGGAGGTCGTATGTGAAAGTTACGGATTTTAGAAGTCGGAAGTGTGCTGTGCGAAAATGGGTGATGTGGCACAATCTTGGCCATTGCTTTCTCCCCAAGTTTTGCCACTAGATGGTGACATGTGGCACCAAGTTCAGACATTTTTCACCCTATAAATAGAACCTCTCTCACCCTCATTTTCTTCACACTTTTCCCATTCTTTCTTCTCTTTACTCTCTCTCTAGAACCTCTCTCTAGCCCCGAAACCCCCCGAAAAGCCTAGGGAACCTCCCTAGCACGAGGCGGAAGCCCCGGAGTGCTCGACGGCTCCGAGAAGAAGAGCTTTTCGGCTCGTGAACGCTGCTCCAAGCAAAGCCCGATTTTCTATAAAACCCGCTGTAAGTGAGCTACGCCTACGCTATTTTTAATATATCGTTTATTTAATTATAGTAGCGTTATTAGGAACTTATAATAATTACTTGGGCTATTATTATGTGTTATATAAGTATTGTTTAACGCTTATATAATAGTAATAATAGCTAGACTATTAATTAGTCTCGGCGAATAATAGACTAAACTCTAGTGGTAATAATAATAGGTTTCGTCGAACGAAATTATTTTTAAGAAGCGAAGCGCTGTCTGAGTTCGGATTCACCACCTTTTCAAGTGAGTGCATAGTTACTTTCATCTTACACATAGATATGAAGTATTTTAAATAAATTACGTGCTATGTGTGCATATTATCTGTATACTTGCTATCTATGCTGGATGAACGATTTTATACATGTTTTAAATGATTTAAACTGTATATATATATATCTACGAGAATATGTTGGGTAAAACATGGGTAGATGTAATAGATGGAATATGAGTTGGATGATGAGTTGAGAGGTGTTATAGACCACGAGGTAAGTGTGAGAGGTGGACGATGTGAGAAGCCTTTCCCAAATGATGGCACCGTCATCTAGCAGAGTATGGATGACAACCACGGACTATTCTAGACAGTCCAGTGGAACACTAGCAGGCTCGCAACCTGTAGGTGTTGTGAACGATGTGTTCACCGGTGTACTCTAAAAACCCATTGACATGTATTGCGAGTGGACTCTCGAAAACAATA